CATCCAGTAGAAAAGTATGAAGACGAAATATAGGAATTAAAGCCATGCTGTTATGTTGAGCTGTGGGGGACTCAGGTCAATAATTTCTGACATTGCCAGTTAAACAGAAGACCCAATGCTATCTATTATGGGCTACTGGACTCTTTTAGAATATTTTGCTGAGTTTACACACCTATGATATTCAATAACGGAACTTAGAAAAAATAGGGTATACCGATGAATGTCCATTTTGTATCTGTGTATTCAAAGTGGTTAGGATAGATATATAGTTTCATTCTCTTAATCAATAGAATGATTTGTTCTAATGGTGTTTGTAAATAGGATCTCCAGTCCGCATCTTGTACAGCAATTAACCACTAAGAAGAATATATGCAGTGTGTTATTTGTTGAAACTGTACTTCCAATTTGATTTGAAACTGTCTCATTGCTGTTTATCAATAAAATATTGGGGGAAAAAAAAGAAGTTCATCAACCTGGTGAGGATGGGTGACAGCATGCCTCCATCTTTGAGTAGCTTTTTGGAGCAGGAGAGAACGGTGAGTCTCAGGAGATTCCTCCATTTGACAGACAGAGATTCTTTATGGTAAGCCAACCAGAGCGATTTTGCTTGTACCTATAAAGCAGCTCCTGAGCAACAATATCTCCATAGTCATGAGACAACGAGTTGATTCTATGGTTCTGGAGCCCCAGATGCCGCAAAAGGGCCTCCACAATACTGGCTTGCTCAAATATGGAATAGTGATGTGGTCTTGGTTTGTCACTGAAGCCAAAGCCTAGGAAGTCAAGGGCAATCAGTCGATGAAACCTCAGGGTCAGACCTTCCCAAATCTTGTACCAGTCATAGCTGGAAGTTGGAAAGCCGTGTAAAAGCACAACTATTTCTGGGCTTCCGACCACACTCACAGAAGCTTGGCAGAAGATGCGCAGTCCCTTGTAGGTGAAAAACTTGCCAGAAGTCTTCCATGAATGCAGAGCAGGGGAGAGCTGAGGGGGTGGGATGTGCAAGTAGGTGGTGAGCAGGGGCATAGCCAGGAGCCCCACCTGGACCCACCACTCCCTCATCCTGTGGGGAAAGGGTGAGGGGTGTTGTACACATCTGCGGAGACGATCTCGGTGGCGCACCATGGCTGCATTATCCCATGCCGCCCGCCGCAGGGTTGCGGAGCTTGGGGCGCACCACGGCACCCACAGCAGTGCAGGCTCAAGGGTGGCCTGGGCACAGAGTGCGGGTCCGCGCAGAGCAACCGCAGCAGTGAGCCGTTCCTGGGACTCTGATGCGGCACTCTGCTAGGTGGCGACGTGAGGCTGCCGCAGAGGGAGTAATGAGGCCAACGCTGTCCGCTGCCCGCGGGAACGCGCTGGAATGCGCCGGTGGCCACGGCCTATTTTATGTTTTTATGTCTCATGATTTTAACATTTTGGAAGAGTCTGGTTAGGCTTCTGCTAGAATGAGCAATGATCTGCATGTTTCTTAATTTTCTTCTCTTGAATGATTAGGCTTGTGTTACACATTTAACAAGGGCGCTCCATGGTCTAGATGATGTTTTATCTTTCCTGTGGCATCACCTTAGGAGACATTGATGTTATCCTTTTCTCATTAATGGTCATACCAAATTTCTTATTCGTTTAGGGTGATGTCTGCCTGATCTCTTTGTTATAAAGACACTATTCTTATTAATAAGATTACACTTGAAGACTGTGTGCACATCCTGCTGAACAACAAATTTCACCAAAAGGCTTCAGTGTCCATTGATGATCCTTGCTTGTAATCGTTATTGCCTTGGTAGTTGCAAAATAGATATTACATAATTTTGTCATTCATTCTATATTTTCAAGCTGGCGTTCTATAGAGAAATCTTTTATCTCTTCCTTTCCTTTCCCTTTTTTGGGTGTGATTTGAAATATTATTGTGGACTCATGAAGTCTTTTTTTTCAAAGGATAATTTTAAGTAGAAATAATTTAGCTCTTTTCTGAATATTTTTCATAATTTCTTATATATTCTGGAATAACATTTCAACTCTATTTGTCTTTATGAGTTAACATGTTTTAATAAATAGCATAGAATGGGGGTTCCCTTCCTCAACTTTGATATACTGCTGCTGAATTTGATAAGTCTTCACTTATCAGGGGTAACAATTGGTGAACTAAACATGAAGTTAAATCTGTTATTAGTATTAAAATTTTATGGGAGAAAGTTCCCAGTGACAAATGCAGAATTCCAATTCTTTCTCCTCCTGACAATAATACACTTGCAATTAATGCTTCCTCTGTCTTATTTTTAGGATAGAAGATTCAACGATGAAATTGACAAGCTAACAGGATACAAGACAAAATCCCTATTGTGCATGCCGATCAGAAGCAGTGATGGTGAGATCATTGGTGTGGCACAGGCGATAAATAAGATCCCTGAAGGTGCTCCATTCACTGAAGATGATGAGAAAGTAAGATTTCATACCTTGCATGACTTGTACTTTTGTTTTTGATAACTTACTGCTCTCTCCTTGGAAAGACAGGAATTATGTGAATAGCTGCTTGATTAGCTTATTCATAGATCTTATGTTATACAAAACAGAATGGAAGATTTTTTTTTTATATTTCATAGAATGTGGTTTAATTGAAAATAAATACTTCATCTTTTTTTTAGAGCTTGTTTTTCATTACAGGTCTCAGTAGTATTGTTATTCCTTGCTCTTTATCTTCCTTGTAACTGAGCTTTTTAAAGGAGGATCACACCACCACCATACACAGCCCAAGGGAAAGTGGAATATAGGAAGATCACTGTGTTTTGGAAACTCAGCGCATTCTCTTGGATTTTTATTACTAAAATGAGGAATTGTTTTATCAGTTTTTATATAAAAACCTCAATAAAATGAATGGTATTTAATTGTTATTCTCAATTGCTAATAAAAAGAGTATTATTTCTCTCCCTGAAGAGCAGTTGACCTTGGTAGAAGTGATGTACTTTTTACTCTGAAATTTTAAGTGCTTTCAATAGCAGTTTATATTGAAAGAGGGACTCTTGAAATAATTGAGGCTCTGGCTTTGAAGCTAATACCATCGTACTGAGTAGAAGATGGCTGAGTATAAAATTCGTAGTAACAGCAAATCCCTAATGAGTTTGCTTAAAATTGATGACTTCTATATTCATATTTGATTTAAAAAACACTATAATTTAACCTTATGGATGTGCATTTGCTGTTTTGCTGGTACTAATTACTAATGCTTTAAATTAATGTATTTATGGTATAGAAAGCCATATAAAATATGTTTATAGGGAAATAAGTTTTATAAATGAATAGAGTTCTTGATTAAGGTAATTTCTATGGTGGAATTGGAGCAGCCCAAAGCCCAGTACAATTTTATAAAAATTTTTAGAGCATGATTGAAATCAGATGATTTCATAGTGATTCAACAAACCATAGCAATATATGGAATACTTGTCTTGGGGGTCAGAGGAGGCCAAAGGTAAATCCCAAGTGTGTTTGCCATTCAGGAACTACACAAAGTGGGAGGCAATGAGAT